AATTTACCTTCACTTAGCTGCGTTTTCATTTTAACTTGAAATTGTGGTGAGTCCAATAAAATAAGATAAAATAAAATAAAATATAAAAATAAAAATATGCAAACAAATAGAAAATAATTCAAATTAAAACAAAGCATTTGCTTTCCCTTAAAAAATAAAATCCTTATCTCTTTTTCTATCTTTCTCTATTTTTCTCTCAAATAAAAATAAGAAAGAGGTAGAAGACGAAAAGACTAACCCCAGCCGAAAAACACTGGATATTGATGGTCCAGCGCCTAAATAATTTGTGGCAAAAACTTGCTGCTAACCGTGTTGGTGGCCTTTGATAACTTTGGTAACTTTTTTAGAAAAAAAAAAAAAAAAAAAAACAACAAAACAAATTCATTTGTCTCTGCGACCCTGAGAGACAAACACTGACTGGCATGTCATATTGTTTTCATCTTTGTTGTTGTCATGAGTTTATATAACCTAGTGAATTAAAGCAGATTAATATTATTGTGGATTCGTAGTTATCTAATATCCAGATTACTAGAGTGTAACTTTCATGTAACTTCAATATTTTTTAACAAAATCAAATTATGAGTTTCTGTTTTTTCCAAAAAGAAAATCTGCAATGTGATGACAGATTTATTTGTGGCAGGACCTATTTTGTGCTACATAGTTGCCAGGAAAAAAAAATCAGGACTTTGAATGTTGATTTCCAAATCAGATATTCTTTACTCAGATACCTGATGCAATATAATCTTCCTATTCTTACTTGCCTTTGTAACAAAGTTTAGTAAATATCAAGTTATTCAGATAAGGAAGATTTGTAATTTCTGAATCATTCTCATCTCTATGACAGCAAAAAAAATAACAAAAAAGATAATATATAATTCTAAGCAGTGATTTTTTTCTGTTGATTTCTATGTCTGTATCAAGATGACAAAATAATCAGATTAGTTTGGAGTAGATCATCCAATTCTATTGGCATAAAGCATTTTACAAATGCCAGAACAGTCTTTTTCTTAATAATTTTAAGAAAAATGTGTTAATGGGTTAAGCCAGTTCAGCATAGGAATAATATTTTAAACTTCCTAAGCCAAATTGTTAATTGGAAATCCTTACACAGAGAAGATATATGCATTGACATTATTGACTTTTATATATGAGACTAAAAATTCTTCATCCAGATTTAAACCAGAGATAAAAAAAAAAAATAAATATCTCAAAACTTAAGATCAATGCTAAAATTACTATACACCCACTTGTCAAAATTGTTTACCCACTTAGAAATGTCTTCCATGTCTATGGAAAGTATTAGCTGTAAACCCTGTTGTTATGAATAATCAAGAATAGTCTCCCCTTGTTTTGTTACTCTCCTCTTTGAGAGAGCTATTTCTGTTTACTGGGAGTATAAAAGGACACTGTATGCAAACCTTGTATTCTTAGTTGAATATAGATTTCTTAAAGCCTACACCTGCATACTTTTGTCATTACACCTGTTTTCAAGGATATTTGCAGTATTGCCTCATCAGCCTCCTTAGTTTCATTAGCAATCTCCTTGAGTCCATAGTCAACAAGAATGTTGTTGAACCCTTCAAAAGAAACAACCTTCTGAGCAACAAACTTCAGATTTTACACCTTTAGGTCCACTGCCACTGTCATTAAACATGACATCAGCAAAGCACTTCGTAATAAACTCATTATGAGTTGGTTTGGTTTGGTTTGTTTTGTTTTATGACATATCAACCTCAATGGGTTATTTAATGCCAAAAAAATTTTTATTGCTGGTAATTTTTTTTTTTCAAAAATACATGACTGGTAATATTTTTTTCCAAAAATGTATCGCTGGTAATATTTTTTTTTTTTTTTTCAAAATTGTATTGCTGGTAATAATGTATTGCTGGTAATAATTTTTCTTAAAAAAATTATTGCTGGTAATAATTTTTTACAAAGTATTCTGGTATTAAGACCTATCTTTTCACTTTCATAGTGTTTTGACCCCAGCTTGGGGTTTAACTACTTACCCTTAGCTGGGACTCTAACAGGTGCTACCACCCTGGGTCAGGATGGACCTGGGAACACCAGCAATTAAGAGGTGGTTCCATGGTCCTCAAAACCTCCTGATCAGACGCCTTGCTGTTGGACGCAGTTTATTGTCTTATCCAGGACGTGAATGTAATTTATTGTAATAACCAGGACAGCTCATTATGAGAGTGATCATCTCAAATATTTCAAAGACCTTTTAAAAAGTGTGGCATAGGTAGTTACTACACAAATTCTCAAGCTATGACATCTCTGGATGTGTCTTCCCTATTATCAAGTCCTTTCTATCAGGTAGGTCCATGAAGGTCATCTTTAAATGGTCAGTCTTTAGGAGACCATGATATCAATGCAGATATCTCCCAAAGTTCTCTCCTTGGGCCTAACCTCTTTCTGCTTTATATTAAGGAGCTGCCCAGGAACCTTCTCAGATCATCAGTAAAAACCTATATAGATGACACCACAGTTTATGGGTGTGCCTATCATAGCATCTTGCTAATTTGTTTATTTCATCATGGCTGACGATCTATTTCTTGTGACCTTGCCCTTTTATTGTAGCATCCTGTTAATCTGTAAACCTTTTCTTATGCAACCATAAACAGTTATGTAAATTTGATAATTCACTAATTATGGTTACATAATATAAATACTAATTCTGTTCTTGTCATAGTATAATTTGTAACCTTGAGTAATTTGATATGTTTTTTTATAATGAGTACGAGTTGTTACGAAATTCAGCGTATGTTGTAACACCCTTTATACAATAAAACCAGCAGCCAAAAATCACCTCTTGCCATGCTCTATCTTTACAAGAGTCAGGTTAAACCAAGAAAAAAAAAATGGAATATTGCTGCCATATCTGGGCTAGAATTGACTAATGTTCAATAAAATATATAATCAAACATTGCAAGTTTATCACTAATCTATCACTATTTCTATGGCAAATGTTCAGAGGAGCTATATTCCTGAGTTCAGGCCCTTATAGCTGGGGCATTTCATGCACTGTGCCAAGGGTTGAATCTTTTTCATTCTCTTTGTATTCCATTGGTAAGAAGAAGTCCCACTTCTTCCCAGGAACTGCTATTTTGTGGAACAAACTCCAGAAAAAGTGCTTCTTCAATCACTTAAATCTTAACCTTTTCAAGTCTAGAATCAACTATTATCTATCCTACATATCCTCATAATTTGTACTTCTTCTTATGCAATATATCCCCACTCATTATTCCTCTCCCTTGAGTGGCTCTTGGGCCGTGTACTGGGTGATCATGTAGAGGACTGTGGGTGAAAATGTAAAAAAAAACACATCCGTTTATATTTCCTGCTAGAAGGTCCAGCTACAATAGAATGTTTGGACTTGGATTAAGTCCAACTGAAGATAAAGAAGACAAACAAACAAGACCAATATATATATATATAAACAAATATATGTATTAAACAAAACATTTACAAAGCACATAGACAATTAACATTGTGTTTGTGTGTGTGTGAATGTTCGTGGTGAATGTTCATATGTACGTGTATGTTGGTTATGTTCTTTAACATCTGACCGTAATGTTAAGACGATAATTCTCTGGGACTACATTTTGCAGCAAGAATAGAGAAGAAAAGAGAAATTTACCTCACCTCCATGCGAGGCCTGAAGGAGAAAAGAGGAAGAAGCAAGCTTGTGTTTGTTTTTATAGCTAACGTAATCACGTGACAGGATCAGAGTCCTTTGGCGGGAAACTTGACTTAGTGACGCACTGGAAAAATATATTGAGTGTGGGTGGATTGCAACACCCACTTGTGTGTTTATTGACCAATTAGAAGCTAATATTTCCTGAAAGATATTTACTAAATATTTACCAAAAGTGCACAAAATCTACTATACGAAAATGTAGCGATTTCAAAATTGTCACATAAGATAGCAGCGTTGATTTCTATCAAATGAATGATTGTTATTGAAATTTGAATTTGTGTAGGTATGTATGTATGTGTGTGATGATCATCATCACAATCATTTATTAAAAAACAAAAGAGTTGAGAAGAAAATACATAAAATGTGGTAAAAATGAGAAGATGAAGGATTTTTTTTTTTAAAGTTCAATCATTGTAAGAAGGAATTAATTAGATTCTGCTACTGGATTAGAGATTTCTTCCACTAATGTTTGGTAATTCTACAGGTAGGACATATTTATTTTTTATTTGAATTCTGTATAATCTGTAAACTAAATTTTACAAGCACTAAAGTGATTATTAAATAATAGTTTAGGTAGTGTACGCGAAAAAATTAAAATATATCAGGAAGGTATTATGATAGAGAGGCACAATGGACTGATAGTGGCTCAGATTGAGGAATTGGAAAGCCGAGTTCGAATTCCAGTTGTGAACCCTTGGGAAAGATACAAATCTTTTTCTTCTTCCCCCAGCTATGGGTAAAAATAGCATCATAGACCGGGTTCTATAGCCTTAGATGGCAACTGGTCTACCGCAGAAAGAAATGGTAACCTACTGCGGGAAAAATCTGATTCGTCAGTCATGTATCACAAGATACATGATCGCCTAAAGCGTGTATCACGCATAGCACATAACTGACTGCTCTAATTATGATAGACAAATTTTCTTTTTTCAGGTACCTGAATACTGATCGTAAATCTGTTTTGTTTTCCCTGCAGGACTTTTGCAAGTGTATTAGCGTAAGACTTTACCTTTGTGGTAAGTTAGTAGCGCTTTACCTTGATGGCCCTGTACCAGACGAAGCTCATCTCGACTAAAAAAAAATATCTTTTTCCTTCTCGCCTGCCAGACAAGGTTGCCACCTGGCGTAAAGAAGCCGCATTTATTCAAGGGCAAATAACTGTCATTTATCGACGACGCTCTGATGTTTTGTGTTGCCAGTTTCCAAGGGAAGAAAGATGACGACGGTGATGAGGAGGAAGAAAAAGAAGATGCACCGATTTTATTATCAACTTCACACAATAGCAAGGGATTTCTAAATGAAAGCAATAAGAAAAAGGATTTCTTCTACCAACCAACTAGTAAGATAAAAGATTCCATTTCGTCTTTTCCCTTTTTTCTTTCGAATGTTGTGCATTGATTCAATTCAACTCGCATTTGATTTCGTCTTATTTTTTTGCATAAAAAACTAAAAAAAAAAAAAAAGATCGATCGTTTCTTAAGCCGAAAATTTGTTTTCTTTTTCTAGTTTTAAATTATTTGGGGTTAAAATCAAAAGTGGGCGATTTAAATAAGAAATGAAAATAACTTTAATTAAAAATATTTTTCAGCTCTTTCGCTCGCCAGGGAATTAAAAATCAAAATAATTAAGGAAAGCATAAAAAATTAATAACAAACTTTAATTTTAAAGCCATTAATTTCTTCTTTAATTGAAAATAAAAATCTCAAAGAAGGAATTAATGGCTTTAAAATTAAAGTTTATTAATTTTTATGCATTTTTTAAAATTATTTTGATTTTTAAAATTATTATTAATTAATCATTTTAATTTTTTCTTGTTAGGTCCATGAATAAATAAGGCATTGTCCAAATTTTGTTTTGATTTTGAGGAAAGTAGGTCTCCTCAAAAAAAAAAAAAAAAAAAAATCATTTCCTTTTTCTTTGGAGAAAATATGAAAACTTTAAAAAAAAAAAAAGAAAAGAAAGAATCTCTTTAAATCGGTCACTTTTTTTTTTTTTATTTCGTTTCATAAATGGCTTTTTTGAAACTTTTGACAGCACTAAAAAAAAATAAAATAATGTCAAAGGGATCAGGTGGATTTTAAGAAGGCAAATATTTTCACTCCTTTTTTTTATTTTTATTTTTTGATGTCAAGTTGAATGCTTTCTTCATTCTTTCGGTAAAAGTGTATTGTGTCACGTGACCTGCTTTATCGTAAGTGAGCCTGTTCAGAAGTTGGCCATTTTCCACTTATTCAGCTCAACATTTTAGGTGTAGTTTGTTTTTAAAATTGTTAATTTTCTATTTATGGAAGATTTTTTTTGCCAAAAATAATTTAAATTTTCAACTTTTAAATGACTTGCATTTTATTATTATTATTTTTTTTATTTTTTTTTTTTGGAAAGCAAAACTAACTTCACCTTTTTTTTTTGTTTTGAAAAAAAATTATTGAAATAAAACATTTTTAAATTGTTTAAAACGAATCAGAAAAACTAAATGTCTTTTTTTTATTTCATTAAAACTTGAACTTTATCGCCAAATTTCTTTGGTTTTAGAATTAGAAAGCTTTTGAAAAAAATTTCAACGTTAAACTATGAAATAATTAAAGTCCAATTTTTGGTGATATATTTTTGTTTCAGATTTTAATTTTTGAAATCTCTTTAAATTAAAAAAAAAAACAAAAAAAAACGAAATAAATTAATTTGGCTGTTTTTTTCTTGAAATGAAAAGTTATGAATTTTATATTAAAATTATTCGGAAATAAATGAAAAAACGCCAAATCGGTCATGACGTTTCAATTTAAAATAGTCTTCCTCAGAGACGAAATTTGAGCTATTGTTTTTGTTTTTTTCTCTCGTCGACTTTGGATGTGGTGAACAATGTGCGAACATTTTTAGTTACTTTTTCAAAAAGTTTATTAAAAAGATTCTGATTTTGTCAATTTGACATTCTGCACAATTTTTTTTTTTTTTTCACGCACAAAACAAAATATATTTGTTTATCTAAAGCAGAACTTAAGTAATGAAGAAAGAAAAAATATTTACAATACGTTCATCGCAAATAGAAGAGAAAGAAAAATATTTTTGAAGCCAAAAAAAAAAAAAAATCCACCAAACATCTTTTCTTTTTTTCCGGAAGTGAAAATGATTTTCAAATGAATGATTAAATTAATAATCCAAACTAAATGCGGAAAAAATTCATCAAAAAGTTTATAATTTCATATTAAGAAAAAAAAAAAGTATTTTCTTGTAAAAACAAGCATGAAGAATTATTTCATTTCAGTTGGAATGAAAATGAAATTCTGGAGAAAAAATTTTTATTTTTTTAAGCCCGTAAAAATAAATTGAAGCAATTTATTCAAATATTTTTTGTTTTTCACGTTTTTTTTTTGTTTTTTTCGTCTGAATTAATTTCTCATTTCACTTCAACTTTTACTTAAGCTTTTTAATTAAAAAAAAAAAATTTAAATTTAAGTCAAATTCCCTTAATTGTTCATAGTGGAAAAATATGCTATCTTTTTCTGTCTATTATAAATTAGTTTTTTATTCATTAGTTTTTATTTGACGATCTTTTCTACGTTGTACTCGAACTTAGTCCGGTATATCCCAATGGTTATGGTGGAGGGTCCATAAAGAAAGAAACACTGAATCCTGCGGCGGTGTTCTCTCTTTCTTTTTTTGCACGGTTTTGATCTCGGTTTAGGGGCAGGGCCTTATATACACAGCCCAATATACAAGTCGAGTCGGAATAATGGTCCGAGAAATTCTGGTAAAGGAAAAGTCTTCCTTGGAAGTTAATAAAATTTATTAATACGTCGAAGTGAAAAAAAATATAATCAATTTTAAATTGATTATATTTTTTTTCACTTCGACGCAGATTTATTTTTTATTTCTTTTCTCTTTTTACAACGTCAAAATGGCTTAAATTTTAAAATAATCTTGTGTAGGAATTAAAACAGAAAATAGAAAACAAGTAAAAACTGAAACAGAATCCAAGCAAAAAAATGTTGCCGTAAGAGTCGACCACACGTGTTATTTTTTTTTCTTTCCTTTCATTCGTAGTTTTGTTTCAAATCATGAATAAAGTTTAAATGTTGAAAAATAACATTATTTAGGTAAAATATGGTCATTATGTAGCATTTTTGTTTTAACTGCTTTTAGGGGTTATTTTAAGGATCGATCTCCTTTATTACATAATTTGACCTTCTTTTTTTTTTGTTTTAGTCTTAAATGTGAGTGGAAAAAAAAGTCTTTTTTCTTTCACCATAATTGTTTTTTTTCACATATCAGAAGAATTTAAAAAATAATTATCTATTTTTATTTTTTATCTGATCACACGTGTATTATTATTTATCATTTAACGTCGGGTTTATTTGTCTTTCTGCCATTTGGAAAAATAGTTTGTGAAATAAACTAAAGAAAATAAAAATCTTTGAATGTTCCACACTTTTTTTTTTTTTTTCTTTATTTTTTTTACACTCACCCCATTGATTTTTAAACTGTCAATTTAAAGAAAATAAAGTATGTTCAAAACCGCCATTTTTGCAATTGACACTGGTCATAGATTAAATTTGGCAGTAGAGTAGGATATTTTTTTTTTATAAAAAAATATTTCTGAACTATTCACCGATTTTCAACAACTTACTCTGCAAGTAACCTGTTTTTAAAATGTTTGCTGATATTTTCAAATTCAACTAAAATTCAATTCTCCGACTGAATTAAAAAAAACCCAAAAACTAACCATAAAACAGAAAACTTTATGCTCCACTCCGAACTCTCTCTTTCCCTAAGTGAATTTAAAAATGAACTTTTCCGAACATTTTGACAAATATTGTATTTTCTCAGTTCAGTCTTTTAAAAATATTTATTTTTGAAATTATCTTTTTTTTTTTTTTTTTTTTTTTTTTTTAAATATTTGAAGATATTAGTTAATGTTAGTAAAATAAAAAAAAAATATTTATTAGATTTAAAAAAAAAAATCACTTTGTTTCTCTTGAGTTTGGCCAGATGACCACTTTACTAGGTTTATTACTCAACAAAAGTTTAATCAAGCCTTTCTTAATGTTACTTGTACATTTCATAAAATCAGCTTTCTGTCTGATGGTTAAAAGATCATAAGAGGAATAAGCAATTTATTATTCTACTTACTATCATCATGCTTAATATATTTCATAATAACAATATTTACACACTAAATATTGTTATGACATTTCACCCATTGTCAAACCTTCAATGAATTTTGAAGTGAACCCTTTATTTAATCTCTAGATTATTCTCATTCTGCTGCCCATGAGATATCTTGTCTAATTCTTATTTAATACTATTCATTCAGTTGTTGCTTGCCCTGTATGCACTGCCTACCCCAGGGATTGAACTATGCTGTAATCCACTAGACTATGGTCTCATGGGACAATTCTAAAAGGAGAACTTGGTGTCTTAAACCTGACCTTCCTGCTGCTGAGTGCTTAAATATTAGGTTTAGAAATTGTTGTAAATAGCAACAAGGAGGTTCAGATCCCCAAATCATAAGTCGTATTTCCTAGGGTCATAAATCTGTCTTGCAAGTCCAACATCAGAAAGTACTAGGGGCATTAATCAAAAGGGTAAAAAAAAAATCCACATCACAACACACAACTACCCTCTTCACGTATGAAGAGTTGAGCAAACCGGTGTTCCAAGTTATTGAGGTAAGAAAGATTGTGATTGGTCAAGACTGGTAAGGAAGCACAAATTATCTCAAGGTCTACCAAATCTTGATTTTGATTTTTCTTTTTTGAGGTAAGATTTGGTTATCTTTGTCACCACACTCTCCCCTGATCTGGTGACAACCTGGGATGGGCCTCTCTAGTCTCCACATTTGGATACTGATTTCTTGCAGCAGTCCTTTTCATAGTGCAGCGGCATCTCTCAACTCTATCATTCTCTGAAGGTGCATATATACATCACGGCTGGAGGCTGATACCTGATTCATCTATAAACTGCCTAAAGCATTGGTTGTAGTAGGCTCTGTTATTATCAGTGTGTATCTTGACTGGGGTGGGGATCACTCACAGAATGCTGATTCTAACTATGAGATAATGCTTGCAGTGTCTTGCTGCAACAACGGTCACCAAATTGAGAACCATGTGGATCCCCAGTTGATATCTATAGCCAGCCTACCCCAGGTTTCACTCACATTTAGATTACCTTTTCTCCACTGCACAGAGCTGAGTCTATAGGCTGACATGCCTCACAGTTCTGAACCACAGACTTCACTGTCACTTTTGACATAGTAGGAAAAACCTGTCTTGTGAAATATAACATCCTTCGATGGTTATCTGTCATTTGATTGGGTCTTAGCTCTTCTGTGACAGAAGCACATAA